TCTGTTAAGATTGCATGAAATACTAAAAAGTCATGAAATCCATTATCGCTGTGCTAGCTTCACCTTTGATTGAAATGACGACTAAAGTCACTGAAGCAATGAAACAAAAGTTTTTGGTAGAATACATTAAATCAGGAACTATTCCAGAAGGTTTTTACATTCATACTATGAAGGATGGTAGAGTTCAGTTTAGAAAGATAAAGCAACCATTAGATAAAGAAGGTATATTAAGGAAGATTAAACTTCATGAGGACAACATTGCTGAACTTAGGAAGAAGTTAGAAGAGTTGGAGAAAGGAAGAGAGTTATAAAGCAATGAATTCAACAGGGTAGAAATGAGGGTAGAAATGAGGTTAGATCTAACCTTCTACCCTAAATTTAAATGGATGTTTTCATACGTGTGGGAGTGGTGATATCATTAATTTTTTATTTTATTTTTATTTTATTTTTATATAAATGACGAAAACTATTGAGATAACAAACTACAACGGTCATGAGTTCAAGAATTTGTTCTTCGTTCCTCGTGAAAATACATTCTATCAGATACGAGGGAGAAAGGGTAAAGTTAGTTTGAGCGTTTATGAAGGAATGAAGAATGGAAAGTTTATACAAGCATACGATACAAACGGTCAGCGTGTTTCATTAGCTTTGTCAAAACTTACAGGTATAAACTATGACAGTGATTTTGACTCTGACGATTGAGCGACAGCAGCGATACTGAAGAATATGAACTATTGTGTGAAGCACAGCAATGGGAAGAGTTGCAATACTTTTGTAAGTGAGAACGTTTATTTTTACAGTAGTAAGGTGAAGTGGTTGGCGGCTTTATAAATATTTAAGGTTAAGTTGGTGTTTGTGTTTGTGTTGTAAAATATACGTTAACGGTTTTGTAAAGTGTCAAATTCACATATCAGGTGTAAGGAGGCTCGCAGTGCCTCCGTACACTTGATATGTATACTAACTCCCAAAAAGGGTTTTCGCCCCATGACTCCAGAAGAGTGTTACAATGAGACACCACATTGGAAACAGGGTGAAACGCCATTTTGGAGAGTTATGATTGATGGACACTTCGAAATCAAAGAAATACCGAACCATTGAATACACAATTACGAATAAACGCTTAATTTTTATAAAAATCTTATTACATTTTTCCTGAATTTTTAAATTGTACAATAAAGATGGAAGGCTTTGGGGTACATATTAATATAATATACCTCAAAGCCTTCCATCTCCACTACAAATTGGAGAAACTTTGTCCGAATAGTTTAACATTCGGACAAAGTTTCTCCCATTTTAAGAAGGAATTGCAGGGTAAGAGGTACATAGTATGAATATATACCTCTTACCCTGCAATTCCTTCTAGAAAGTTCCAAAACTTTGGGTTAATTGCAAGACATTAACCCAAAGTTTTGGAACTTTCAAGTTGAGATGGAAGGCTTTGGGGTACATATTAATATAATATACCTCAAAGCCTTCCATCTCCACTACAAATTGGAGAAACTTTGTCCGAATAGTTTAACATTCGGACAAAGTTTCTCCCATTTAAAGAAAGAATTGTTCCTTATGAGGTATATATTCATACTGTATACTTCATAAGGAACAATTCCCTCCTTAAAACGAGAAAACTTGTTCGAAATTGTTTATCATTTCGAACAAGTTTTCTCGTTTTTAATAACAAACTAAAGGCTATGAGGCACTGATTAAAATTAGTGCCTCACAGCCTTTAGTTTCTAATAGATAGCTGGGAAACTTTCTCCAAATGATAAGTTATTCAGAGAAAGTTTCCCAGCTATCAAGAGGGAATTGTTCCTTATGAGGTATATAGTTATAATGTATACCTCATAAGGAACAATTCCCTCATTAAAATTGTAGATATTTTTACTTATTACTCATGCTTTCAAAATCACAATCCTCTGAAAAGTTATTTTTTATTAAGAATTTAGAATTTTGATAAATACCTTTTTTCAATTTGATATAATACTTATATATTTTCAAAAAGACATTTTGAAAAGATATCTCAAAAGTTCTCTGAAAACCTATTTTTGATTAATTTTGAGAAATATCCGTATTAAATTAATCAATAAATTCATTCAACACTACTTTAATTTTTAAATTCAAAAAATTATATGTGCTTCTTAAAATGTCTCACAAAAATTTTATTATAAAATTATATACAATATTAAAAATCCCACAACATTTTGTTACTTTACATAATCGTACTTCCTCGACGATTAATTTCCCCTCAATTCCTATCGTTGACCGAACTTAGCATGCAACATAAATTCTATTAAAATGGATTTGATCCAAAAAAATATATAAAATTTGATCATAAATAAAATCGTTTTAAATTACTTCTTCATTTAAATTATAACAATTATTTTTGGTTTTATATTTATCATCCACATTCAAATTTGAATCTTATCACAAAAGAAGGACCACTTTTATGACTACTGCCAAATCTATAAGCAGAGAATGGCTATTTGAAGCTAAAAGAAGAATAGAAGAAGGTGAATCTTACAAAAGTGTGGGAAAGGAAGTTGAATTGGAAAACGGTAAAATTAAATTGAATGTTGCCGAAAATACAATAAGAAGAGCATTTCAACTTCAAGAAATCGAATTACCAAAAGTTAGTCGCGGCAGAAAACCAAATCCACCAACATTTGAGCAAAAACAATTAATTAATTCTTGTGTTTCACAATATAAAGGAGGAATTTTAAAAACTTATTTATTGATTAAAAGGTTTCAAAATATTGCTCAAAATCCCGATTGTGAGAAAGAAAAAGAAGAAATTGCAAAAGAATTTGAAAATATAGAAGATTTGACAAAAGATCAAATTTTTGACAATTTACAAAAAATAAAGCATCATCAAGTGGAAAAATTTATGATGGAATCAGGTTTATCTTCAAAAAGAGATTACAAACCAGCAGATCCACCTACCAAATATCGTGCCATATCAAAGAATTTGATATGGCACTGCGATATTCATTACCTTCACGGTAATGTTTCTTTTCCATTTTTTGCCATATTGGATGATATGACACGTAAAGTTCTCAAAACTAAATTATTGAAAAGCAAGTCTTCCAACTCAACAGCGAAGGTTTTAAGAAAACTTTTAGAGGAGTTTATTCTTTACTGCATCTGGACCGATAACGGCGGTGAAAACCGCGGTGAATTCGGCCAGGTTATGCAGGAAAACGGAATAGTTTGGAAGCACACCTTGCCGTATATGCCAAGACTATAAATCCAAGGTGAAGTCATTTTTCTATCCCTGGGATAGACGATACACCCAAAATGTCACCTTTTTGGGATTCTGTTTTTTTTTGTTTTTTTAAGGTTCTCGCTGGCGACCCCCCACGTTCGTCGAAAAAAATTGGTGATTGGGGGGGGTCGCCAGCAAAAATCAAATTTTTTTTCGACGAACGGGGGGTCACCAGCGAGAACCTTAAAAATAAACCTCTGAAATTTTAAAAAAGAAAAAAGTGTGAAAATCCCCTTGATTCGAACCAATGGACTTTACGATTATACTATGACTCTTACCATTGAACTATGACTCTAAGGGTTCGAAAATTTATTTGGTGATAATATAAACTTTAATGAAAAATTAATCAGATCAATTTAGAAATATTTATTTCATAATATTGAATGAATGTATAAATCTAAATAGTATATTATCAAAAAAAGAGTGGGGGACAAACTCGCCCATTGTCACTTTTCATTAACCTTAAACTTGTAATTTTCATTATTTTTAATTAACCTTATTTCTTTCCCAATTCCTGATTTATTTTATTCACTTACTATTAAAAGTCACATTTTAATAAAATATAATAATTTATTTATAGCATTTTTTACTATACTGTAATAAAAAATTAATTATAATAAATTAAATGTTTATTAAATCAAATGTTTTCTTTGCAATAATATTTTTAATGTTGAGTAAACAATGTTGGGATCAAGTGTATATTTTTTCAGACCTTTCTGAACAGCTTCAAGCATACTGATGCATTCGACTTTTTTAAATTGTGTCATTTCTTCGAAATCTCTTGTGACTTTTTTGATAACTTTAACACTTCTCTCTGAATCCAGACCTTTAATTTGCAACTTAATCAGGAATGAAGGAACAACACTGGAATATAACTCGATGACAAGTTCATCGAGTCGAAGATTTGGTTGTACACCACTTGTATGTGCCGGATACCATTGTGTCAAATTTTTTCTGAAATTAACTTTAAAAGTACTAAGTAAGATCATGAGATATAGCAATATATGTTTAAACTAACTTATATTTTGGTTGTACACCACTTGTATGTGCCGGATACCATTGTGTCAAATTTTTTCTGAAATTAACTTTAAAAGTACTAAGTAAGATCATGAGATATAGCAATATATGTTTAAACTAACTTATATTTTGGTTGTACACCACTTGTATGTGCCGGATACCATTGTGTCAAATTTTTTCTGAAATTAACTTTAAAAGTACTAAGTAAGATCATGAGATATAGCAATATATGTTTAAACTAACTTATATTTTGGTTGTACACCACTTGTATGTGCCGGATACCATTGTGTCAAATTTTTTCTGAAATTAACTTTAAAAGTACTAAGTAAGATCATTTATTTTTGCATAATATAATGCCAATATGGTTTCTTTTGATTTTATTTCATTTATAAGCAAATCAGATTTACCCAAAAACTCCACTCCATAAGCGTTCATTTGCTAAATTAAAAAGTGACAATGGGCTAGTCTGTCCCTTTCTCATCAAAAAAAAAATAAAAATAAAAAAAAAATAAAAAATAAAAAAAAATAAAAATAAAAATAAAAATAAAAAATTAATAATAATAGTACCATCACCACAATTAGCAAATTCAAAAGATATATGAATTGCTATCGATCTCTTTCAAACAAACACATAGAAATTTTGATTAAGTATTTCAAATTTTTATATGAGATAAATATTGAACAGATAAAATATAAAACAATTTTTAATAATAAATATAGATATTTATTTTGTAGCCATTAAAATTTCTCGGCTATCTAATAAAATTTTGTGAGAACGTAATCTTTTCAAATTTAGTATCAATCTTTGGTCTTTTATTGTTCTCTCACATGTTGCTTCTGAAGGTGAAGCGGAGATAACACGAAGGGCGATATCTGCAAAGATTGATACATTGCCATCTCTATGAGAGATTTCTTCCCAACCGTATTCTTGACGTTCTTGAATCATATCATCAGAGAAGATATCATTATCACTATTAATATACGTGTTAAATAGTGTAATAATATCTGTTATTGTTTGACCCGGAATACGAAATTGTTCCAAAATACTTTTGAGATACTGCCTAGCTGCAACAAAATGGTTAACCGGCTGATTTGAACTAGATGTTACATCTGCGAGATCAAGCATAGGAGGGTCAATTGTAGCAGTTACCTGACGAATTGATCCCTCCTCAACCATATCAAGAGAAACTTCAGTCGAACCTTCTTCAAAGATAGAGTCCATATAGATAGATTGAATGTCTTCTACTGGATTAACGAAAGTTACGTTTGTAATATCAAATGAATTAATTGCCGGAGATTCGTTGATCTGCGCTCCGTGGACGAATTTTTGGTTGAAATAATACCTACCTTTCGGTGTAAAAGCGAAGGCTAAGCACCAAAGACCTCCAAAGTCCGATCCAAGGGTATAGTTCAACAACGATCTTGAAAGGATTCCAGCAAAAGGATTGTTGTTGCTGCTGGAAAGGTATTGGAGTGCTTCAATACCCTTGCAAAGCCATACGTAGCAATCAGATATCTTGGTTTTATCTGATTCGAACGTGGAAATAAGCTTCTTGAGAATTGCCAAGCAGTCTCTTAAGAACTTGATGTTTTCAATATCAATACGCGTATATCTTGAAATTTTGTCTTGATACTTGATAATAAACATACAAATATTATAATCATAGATCCACCTGGTGGATACATGCTTTGGACAGAGAGCTCCGATGTCTTCAACATGGATTCTACAAAGAGCTGATATTTCGTGGATATGTTTCACAATTGCTCCTAATGCTACGTCTTTTGTTGTCATATATTGATAACAATTATGAATCCTGTGGCATAAACACGGGATAAACAAGATTTTGAATAACCTTGGGTCATTTGAGTTGTAGAACGATTGATTCCATCCTTTCTGAAAACATTTCAATTGCGCTTTATTGCCATCGCAAACTACACTGCTGATCTTAACATCTCTAATGAAGATTCTGTTAAATCCTTGAGTAAGCGAGTGGATATAATCTTCAGATGTTCCACCATTCATTTGGATTGACTCAACAGGATAGGGCCGCTTGCTTTGCAGAGGATTTGTGAGGGAGAAGTCCAGATTGTGAAACTGCTGAGTCTTCCCCTCATCAATGGCAACACAGGTACAGGCAAGCTTAGCAAACTCATCAACTTTTGCAACATGGATTGAATTTGCAATTTGTATCATTGTTTGCCTTAGTTTGTCAGTTGAAATAGGCTGGTATATTTGAGAAGCTAGTTTATCAACATTGATGTTAACATTGTGTAACTGTGGGAACTTCAATATCATCGAGTCTGCAGTATACATTATAATGGTTTTAACTAGCTTTGTAAACTCTGGGCTTGAGAAGGTATTCAGAGCCAAGTTAAATCTTCCAGTAAATGTAGCAAGCTGTTCATAGATATCCCCTAACGATATAGGTGTAAGCCCTGTTGCTGGGACGTTTTGATAGTATTGATCGATTGTTTGTTGTGATGCTACTTCTCCTGGTGTGCATATGTGCCGTTTGTTTTGGATCCATTTTTTGAAATGATCCTCACGCATTTCTTCCATTGCACAGTGGCATATAGTTCCGTCAGGACGCTTTACTAGTTCATTGCATTTAACATAATATTTTCCGTACTTGTCGCCTGGTTTTTTATATCTAAGATACTGATGCTTAGTACCGACCTCAATGTCTTTATAGTACGTCGGTACTGCATCAATCATTGTTGAAATAATGAAGTGATTACTTAAGCATTTTTATTCTCAATTTGTTTTGAATAAATTCAATTTTTTAATGCATAATTTTTAAAAATTCTCTAATATACCTTAGATATAGATACATTTATTATCAATTCAAAAATTTCAATATAGTTTTGGGATGGGTAGCCCATCCCATATATTCAAATTTTCAATGATTTTGGGTTGGGATTCCCAGACCAGAATAATTTCTAATTATAATTCGTAAAAATATATGTATATCTCATTATTACATCATTTAATATATTTTTAGTTAAATAGTCACTATTTTCACAATTTTTATTATTAATTACTGAACTAAACAGGTTTCAAATAGAAAGAGTATAAAAGATAAGTGTTTTTCTACATGTGTTTCGATAAGAATTATAATAATTGATGGTTTTTACAGCCAAATTTATTTTATTATTTAAATTTCAATGAAAAAAGATAAGAATTTTTTAATAAAAATTTTTTATTAAGAATTTTTTTTGTAAAATTGACACTGGGATGACGATAGGGCTAAGATCTTATCCACCCCGTTCATTTGGGAAAATTGCAGATCTATACCAAGACAGAACGGCAAGGTGGAGCGCCTGTGGCCAAGCTTAGAAAAGTTTTTGCCAGACGAGTTGGATGATATTCAACAAATCAAGGACTCAGTTCAACAGTTCATTGAAAAATACAACAATACACCACATTTATCTCTCGATATTAATCCAAAAACGAATAGTAATTACACTCCTAACGAATTATTCGAAGTTTCAAAATTTTGGTACGAGCCAGAAATGCAAAAATGGGAGTTATATATCAAAGACGAATGCATTTTAAATGACTACTAAACAATTTTATTTATGATCAAATTTTATATATTTTTTTGGATCAAATCCATTTTAATAGAATTTATATACTATTCATCTATTAGTAAACACTACCGTATATTATTTTTTAAGCTATCTTATTTTTTGAACTTTTATTCAAATCTTTGGTCGCAAGAAGAATTGCATGATAAATAAAAACATTTAATCAAAGTCAATTTTATTTTTCATATTCAAATGGACTGAGTGTTAACATTTAACATTTTTTGCTAATTGTCGTCAAAAATTAGACGTAAAGCAAAAATTGATATTTCATATGGTTTTATGATAGATAAGCATTATATTCCCACTCATTATATTCGTAAATTTTGAGGTTTATCCTTCGCTTTTAAGATCATTGAATTTGATTTTTATATAAAATAGTTATATATTAAAAAAAAAGGTATTGGGGCCTCCAGGCACTTCATGCCCTCTAGCCCTGAAGATGTTTAGTATAACTTTGTCCGGACAAGTAAGGGTCTATCGTCGCTACAGGAAAAGTTACAGGCGTTCCAAGGAAGTATACTTTGAGAAGCCTTTCCCCCTTATAGAATGAGATAGGACGGTTATTTTACAAAACTGACAACACTTTGACCGAGTAGTTTTTTGTGCTGAACAAAAAGTGTCATATAAACATCTGTCAAAAACCGTTTTTTACTTCACTTAAAATGCCACGTAAGCTACGTAAGAATATACGTAAGAGGAAGGGAGCATTGAAACATCCAATAGTAAAACTGACACCACAACAACAGTTGCAACAACAAATTATGAATGACCCCACTATGTTGCAACAAATGTCAAGCAACCCTATGCTTTTAAACCGAGTTATTGGTGCACAGAGTGGAGGTTTAAGAGCGGCACTTTTAGCGAAAATGGCAGGCTATGGTGGAGCTGCAGACGGAACAGCTTATAACCCTCAAAGTCAAATGAATTTGAGTTCACTCAAAAATCAAATAACAGATGTCAAAAAGTCAAACATAGACATACAGAAACAAATAAAGTGAAAACGAAAAGAAACTAGAATATGACAGACACACAAAGAAACTCAATGAGTTAAACGTAGAGAAAAAGAAGAAAGAAGAACAACTGAAAGAACTAAGTACAGAGGAATATGCGAAAAAAGTGTCAGAAAAAGCAGCAGAAGTAGCAAAAATGGAACAAGATGTTATAAATTTGAAAAACCATACTACTCAATATAAAGTACTGAAAGATGAAGAAATAAAACAAAAAGCCCTGAAGACATATATGGATAGCGATGAGTATAAAAAAGAAGTTGAAGCAAATGTAAAGGCAGAAAAACTTTTACAGTTGCAAAACCAAACCGTACAGTATGAAAACTTAGCACAAGAAAGTAAAAATAACGACGCAGCCATGCAAAAGGTAATGAAAAGCGCAGAATATATAAAAGCTAATAATGACTGGTTAGATGCCCAAGCCAACGCTAAAGCAGCCCAACTTATAGGGTCAATAAGGACAAAAATACAAGCGGATGAAGACAGTTCAAATGAAGCTTTAATGAATGCTGACTTTAAGAACGCCTTCGAAGCTCTTCATAGTAAGGTGAAACTAGTGAACGACTTCTCATCTGGAAAGAAACTGAAGTCTGAAGGTTTCGACAACGAGTTAAGAGAAGTAGCACAAAATATGACGAAAATAACAGATGCAGCAACGAGACAGGCAGTTCAAAGTGCCTATGACGCCGTTAGAGCAACTGTTGTGGAAAGTCAAGAAAAAGAGTTACAACAGACCAAAACAGACCTAGTAAATGCTTTCTTAAGAACGAAAAGTCAGGTAGGACATTATGCTGCAGATGGAACATATGTGCCAGCTGGTGGAACTTATATACCACCAAACCCTCCAAGAGAAGCACCTGCACCAGGACTACCTAAAACATTTACATCGTCACATGGACACAGACACAGGCATGCACCAAAACCAACACAACAACCAACACAACAACCAACAGTTCAAAACACTGCACCACAACCAACAGTTCAAAACACTGCACCACAACCAACAGTTAAAGTTAATGTTAGCCCTGAATTAACAAGGTCAGCAACTCAACCAAATTTATTAACTCGTGACTTACCGAAGAATGAGGAGAATGAAGAAAACCATGAGAATGGAGACCCAATCATTTTATCTGAACCCGGTAAAGAACCTGTTGAAATTCCCACTTATCCAACATACCCCCCGCCTCTTTCATCAAACATTGAGAACCCATATAAAATAGACATTAATTCAGAATTAATGAAAATTTACCGTGATATAATAATTAATAATTATGATTCAATAATAAATTTAATTGATCAATCCGGTTTAATTATTTTACCTTATGAATCATTAATTCACATTATCGCCATTCTTTGTGATGTTCAAGATTCAGACGTTAAGATTCAATTTTTCATAGATGATGAGGTTTCATGCTGTGGAACAGTTGCAAAAATAAATCCTATAAAGGATATTAGCACAATTAAGATATCAAAGAACGGAACAACAACTGAACTTCATTTAACATATAATGATATTTATAATAAAATAGTTGATGAATATAAATATCACTTGAAAAATTCTTTGTTAAGACTATTTAATATTCAAGCATTAACATTATTGAATAATAATCCTTTGAATCATAATCAATAATAATTGACCTTTCACCGGTTTCTATCGTTTGTTTTATTTCTTTTTGTTCCCACTATCTGGATCGGTCATTGTAATTGTTTTTGTTATAGTATCAGCTTTATCTTTAACTTCAATCTTTTTTCCATCAGGATATTTAAACCAAAATTCCAAAAATTCGATATTGTCAATCTGTTCATATTTTAATCTATCAATTACATTTTTAATACCATCTGAAAATCTTATGAAATGGTCATTATATGGATTTGATTGAACTAAATTTGAATGAAGTGAAATATAACCTGTTGATGAATATGACATTGACTCATATTTTCTGAAAACACTAAAATTTATAACATGAATGAATTTCTTATTCGTTGAATTTATGAATTCTTGAGGTAATCTTATTCTAGTTTTATTTATCACTGGAAAATAACGCTTTACCATATTTTTAATCGTAATAAAAATGTCAATTATCAATATTATTTCGAATAATAACTGTGAATTAAATTTAACAGTTAGCGGAATTTATAATGTTACTCTCGTTTCTGTGAGTGGTAAATTTAATCCCATTCTTTTAGACCCTTCAGATTATATATCATTTATTAAAGGTGACCATGAAAAAACGTATGATATGCATATAAATAATGTGATAACGAAATGGGATATTAACACGATTTTAAGTTATTTAAACGAATCATTTATCGTATGGTATGAAGAAAATTTTAAATCAAAACCTGATAAACTTTTTGAACTTGATGAAATAAATAACCTTATTAAATTTCCGCTGAAAATTAAATTTTGTACTCCTCATCTTCGTTCATTGTTGGGGATATTAAATTTTGAAAAAGATGTTGGGGATGTTTTGTATTCTGACACTGGTTCCAATTTCATTTTAATCAAATGTGATAAAGTTAATACCCCAATGAGATTTTCACATCAAACATTAGACCCTAACTCTTACCCATCAATACAAAACATTTTATCCATCAACTTAAACATATTTTCTTTATCATATCCGTTTCAATTATCCGGGAATTCATTTATTCTTCATTCAAAAGATTTATCAAATATTAAATTTAGAATAACTGACCTATTTGATTGTGATTTAGAATTCATGAATGAAATATTATGGCAATTTCAAATAGAAAAAATAGGTGATGAGATAACAGATTAAATATTTATTTTTAAATCATAATAAATGATTAAACAACAACAACCACGACAACTTAAGGCACAGACCATTACATACGCCACATATGCATATAATTCAAAGACGGCAGAACAAACGCAAAGGTTGAAATATGGAGATTTGGAGATAGTATTGAAAAATGACCATTTCGAATTCGTTTGCAAAGGTGGTGCGGTGATATCAAATATAAAAGAAATTTTATTTATGAATTCAAAAATTAAAGGTATAACGGATGATATAACATCAATTCCACCAGAAGAACAGAGATATTACGCATTAAATGCATTTCCTAAAGTTTTGAAGATTGGAAGATTTAATTTAAATGAGGAATTCATAAAAGGTTTCCTAAATGACATAATGAAGAAAGCAGATAAGGAATATGTCAACAGTGAGTTAATGAAGAAGGCAAATAAGGAATATGTCAACAGTGAGTTAATGAAGAAAGCAGATAAGGAATATGTCAACAGTGAGTTAGAGATGAAAGCAGATAAGGAATATGTGGTTAGTGAGTTAATGAAGAAAGCAGATAAGGAATATGTCAACAGTGAGTTAATGAAGAAAGCAGATAAGGAATATGTCAACAGTGAGTTAGAGATGAAAGCAGATAAGGAATATGTGGTTAGTGAGTTAGAGGAGAAGGTAGATAAGGGACTTGTGGCTAGTGCATTAATGAAGAAAGCAGATAAGGAATATGTTAATGAAAAAGATAATGAAATTAAAGAAAGGGTTGAAAGGTATCATGAATGGACATCAAAGATTTTAAAAACTAAAGCCGATACAGGATGGGTTTTAGGATGTTTAGACCTTAAAGCGGATAAAACTTATGTCAACAGTGAGTTAATGAAGAAGGCAGATAAGGATTGTGTGAATGAAATATACCAAAGTTTGATAGGAACAACTAAAAATATTGAAACTATTGCTGGTGACTTTTCCGTCAATGAAGAAAATAAATATTTTAGATGGCAGTTTGTACACTCCTTAAGAAATGGTATACGGTATAAACTCATTCCGAAAAATAACAATGAAATGTATGTAAGTTATAAAAAGAATGATGACACACAAGTTAAAGTTCCATTAGACAACAACTGTTACTTAAACTTATATGGAGACGAACAAAAGAAATATTTAAGAGTTTATGAAATGGCAGATATGACATTGCCTGACCCAGCTCCAGCACCATATTATTATGACTATGGAGATGACGACAGAACACTACACGCAGATGAACAAAAGCAAACATTATATTTAGATTATTATAGATATAAAAGATATAATGCAATAGAAAAAACGAGAATAGTATACTATTATATAGATGACGGAAATAAATATTATAGTCAAGATTTTACCTACCCTGAAAACATAAGATTATATTATAAAAAATATTCTGACACAAACCAGAAGAAACCCGAAATTGTTGCATTATATTTTAAGTTCAAAAGAGACAATCCTATATTATCTCATATGTTTGATTTAATGAACCCAGTAGGTTCTATTTATACATCTATGGATGTGAGAGGTCCTCAAGCAATGTTTGGTGTTGGTGCATGGGAACAAATAGTCGACAGGTTTTTGTATTGTGCAAACTCTTCAAAGGAAATGGGTGGTTCGAAGAAAATTACTGAAGCAAACCTTCCACCGCACACTCATACAGGAACGACAAACTTTTCTGGCGACCATAGTCACTCATTAAGAGATCATCCATTATACAACTCAGAATATTATGCTGGCAATGACGTTTTATCTCCAGATTATAACCATTCGGCAAAAAAGACTTTTCGACCAACTGAACCAGGAGGAAATCATTCACACACTTTCACAACAAATCCAACAGGCTTGGGTAAAGATTATATGCCACCATTTATGACTGTATTCGCATGGTACCGCATTTATTGAATGAACTAAATATATTTTATGTCTGTAATTAATTAGGTAATGAAGTAATTGATGAACTGCAGAAATATATGTTTACGTTAATGTTTTTAGGTTATTCAATAATTAATTATTTTTGAAGAACTGAAGGGGTCACCAGGTCACCAGGTGGTCACCGGGTAATTTAACTTCTATGAAAAAATGAGACAACATGACATTTAGACAACATTTACGAAAATTTGATGTAGTCCAAAAATAAAGTTAGTTTTAAAATTATTTTTATTTATTTTTTTTATTTTGTATGTAAGAACAGAAATGTCAGTCGAAGCAAAAACATTCACGAACAAATCTAATGGTGAAACATTCACAAAAGGCACTTATAACGGTATTGAAGTCTTACGTAGAGACAAGGATGGTTACATTAATGCAACAAAGATGTGTCAGCAGTTTAGGAAAGACTTTAGAAAGTTGTTGGAAAATAAGTCCTGGGAAGAGTATTATAAGGCATTTTGTGAAGAATATAGCAACCGCCGGAATTCCGACAGTTGCTTTTTATACAAAATTCATGCAGGAATTCCTGATGAAATCAAACAGGTTAGAGGAACGTATGTAGACCCAAGACTTATAAACTATATAGCAATGTGGGCTTCTCCAAAATATTGCATAGCAGTTGGAAAAATTATGGACTCCATAGACAAGAAAGTTCATGAGAAATTAGATGAAGAAGACTCGAAAGATACAGTAGAGAATGCTAAACATTTGTTTGAAGAAGAAGTTGGAAAAATGCGCGAAAAACAATTAGAACATGAACGTGAGATATGTTATGGTTATAGAGATTCCCCATACGAACTAGACCAATGGGAACAAGAAGATTTAAAGAGAGAATTTAGAGAATATGAACTCGCTAAGATAGCATTAGAAGCTGCAGAAAAGAAGTTAAAAGCTTGGGGTTGTTTTGTACAAAAATATTGTGAGTAAATGAACCATTTATTTTTATCATAAACGACCAGAAATATATGTTATCATTAATGGTTACGTTAATGGTATAGAGTTCAATGAACGCTCGTCGACATAAGATTTTATAAATTGCACATTTGACGTAAATTCCTTTCCCCAGTTATTCAATAATTAATTATTTTTGAAGAACTGAAGGGGTCACCAGGTCACCAGGTCACCAGGTAATTTAACTTTTCTGAAAAAATGAGACAACATGACATTTAGACAACATCATGGGTTATTCAATAATTAATTATTTTTGAAGAACTGAAGGGGTCACCGGGTCACCAGGTCACCAGGTAATTTAACTTTTCTGAAAAAATGAGACAACATGACATTTAGACAACATCACTGGAAATTTGATGCAGTCCAAAAATAAAGTTAGTTTTAAAATTATTTTTATTTTTTTATTCCTATATAAATGACAGCAACAAACAACAGCAACAGCAACTATATCATTTCTGATGAAAAAGTTATTGATTCATTAGCTGAGGAATTAGTTGTGGCAGAAACTAAAGCCCTCAACGAAAGAATTGGTGAAAACAAGATTGATTTACATAACTACCTCAAACATGATGGGGGAAGAGGAAGGAAAACTGGTACAGCTTTATTAGTAAATAAAATTTCAAATTTAACGATTATAGATGTTGATATCAATAAATCATACAATGATGAACTTAAAGAAACAGTTAGAAAAGACATTTTATCAAAACTTTGGATAAAGATGTTATCGTTAAAACTGCTTCAGGAGGTCTTCACATTTATTGCAACACTAATTTCTTCTATTCAACCTCGAACAGAATGATTAAATGTTATTCCTGCAATGATTATGATATTGATATAATGACTTCTATTGATGATTCAAAGCGTTCATTAGTGGTTATGGCTGATTCAAGAGTTCGCAAGAATGCATCAGAACCAATCAATACATACTCATTCATTCGTGGAAGTTATGATTCAACATTAACCAGAACAGTGAATGATATATTAAATGATTTGAATATTAAGGTAAGAGTTGAACAGAAGAATGAAGAAATAAAGAGTATAATGAATGAAAACAAAGATGTAAACATTGACGATAAACTTGCCCAGAGCATAGTCGATGGCATCTGTGATTTTGAAGTACATAATGACGGTGGAAACATGAATTTAGAAAAAGAAGTTACATTATTCACACTGTTTCAAGCAATTAATTCGTTACCGGATCATTTAATTAATGAAGCATACGATAACGTTTATAACTTCTGCAACTTAACTGAAAATGCAAAAAGTAATTTTGAAAAAGCACGTAGTAGATATGCACATTTAATGACTTCTCCATTTGTTTTGGTGAAGATTCTAAAACTTTATCAAAAGGAATATTATGATGAATATGTTTTGCCTTTATTACGTAAGCCAAAAATAACATTTGATATCAAACTTGATGACTCGTTTTTGATAACAGATATTAGACGCAAGGCTGAAAATCATCAGTATAAAAACAGTTCTGAAGTAATTGAGGATTTATCACGTGTAATCCGTTTTGTAGATTGTGGAAATAAATATTTCATTCAGAAAGATTACAACATACACGACAAAATGAATCAAATATCATTCGTTCTTCAATCAAACATGAAAGAGTCACTCAAAATGATTAAATTATTTAAAGAAGAAGGTAAAACAATAACAGCATGGGACGTACTACTAAATCAATTGTCTTCATTAACCGTTAAGGGTGTTTGCTTTAAATCTGATTCTCCAGATGTTTTCTCAACGTTTCAGGGTTATAAATACAACATTCTTGAAAAGCCTGATTACTCAAAAATTGAGATGTTTATGGATTTCATTAAAGAAGCCATTTGTGATAATAACGATGAAGTGTATAAATACCTTCTCGGCTGGATTGCATCAATGATTCAACATCCTGGAATCAAGAATGAAACAGCAATTATTTTGAAAGGACTTCAGGGAACGGGTAAAAACAGATTTACAGATATTATTTCTGAACTTCTCGCTGGTTATTCATGTAAAAACATTACCGAAATAGGTGAGCTAACGGGTAATTTCAATTCGGTTGTTGAAAATAAAATGTTTCTTGTACTTAATGAACTCAAGAATGTAGGTGAAGACAGACTCGCAAACTTCAACGCTTTGAAATCAATTATTACGGATAATGAGATTAGAATTAATGAAAAGAATCAACCCAGAAGAACTGCTCAGAATGTTGCAAACTTTGTTTTCGTAACTAACAACGTCTACCCTGTCAAAATTGAAGTTGGAGACAGAAGATACGTAGTTTTAAGGGTTAATGGTAAATTCAAGGGTCAATTTGATTACTTCAAGAATTTAATGGATTCATGCACTAAGGAATTTTATGATAACCTTTTAACATATTTTATGCAATATGACCTTTCATCATTTAATGTACGAATCATACCGATGACTGAAGCCAAACAAGATTTAATTGAATTATCAACAAATCCTTTAGATGAATGGATAAATACACATTATGATGAATTATGTGCAGGTATGACGTGTAAAAATGCTCTATTTTGCAAACCATCAGACATGAAAGACAAGAATTTCCAAATGAGCATTAAGGATAAATGTGAAAGGAAACAAAGAAAAATAGATGGTAAACAAACATGGTATTATGTTTTGAAAGAAGAAATGAAAGGATTATATAAACAAATTGAACCAAACGATAATGAGGAATCATTTACTGACGATGAAATACCTGTAAATGAAGCTTTATAAAGTGTGATTTGAATTTATTTTTACATTAATCCTGCTGTGATGTTGTCAAAATGTCATGTTGTCTCATTTTTTCAGAAAAGTTAAATTACCTGGTGACCTGGTGACCCGGTGACCCCTTCAGTTCTTCAAAAATAATTAATTATTGAATAACCCATGATGTTGTCAAAATGTCATGTTGTCTCATTTTTTCAGAAAAGTTAAATTACCTGGTGACCTGGTGACCTGGTGACCCTTCAGTTCTTCAAAAATAATTAATTATTGAATAACCCATGATGTTGTCAAAATGTCATGTTGTCTCATTTTTTCAGAAAAGTTAAATTACCTGGTGACCTGGTGACCTGGTGACCCCTTCAGTTCTTCAAAAATAATTAATTATTGAATAACCATGATGTTGTCAAAATGTCATGTTGTCTCATTTTTTCAGAAAAGTTAAATTACCTGGTGACCTGGTGACCCGGTGACCCCTTCAGTTCTTCAAAAATAATTAATTATTGAATAACCCATGATGTTGTCAAAATGTCATGTTGTCTCATTTTTTCAGAAAAGTTAAATTACCTGGTGACCTGGTGACCTGGTGACCCCTTCAGTTCTTCAAAAATAATTAATTATTGAATAACCCATGATGTTGTCAAAATGTCATGTTGTCTCATTTTTTCAGAAAAGTTAAATTACCTGGTGACCTGGTGACCCGGTGACCCTTCAGTTCTTCAAAAATAATTAATTATTGAATAACCCATGATGTTGTCAAAATGTCATGTTGTCTCATTTTTTCAGAAAAGTTAAATTACCTGGTGACCTGGTGACCTGGTGACCCTTCAGTTCTTCAAAAATAATTAATTATTGAATAACCCATGATGTTGTCAAAATGTCATGTTGTCTCATTTTTTCAGAAAAGTTAAATTACCTGGTGACCTGGTGACCTGGTGACCCCTTCAGTTCTTCAAAAATAATTAATTATTGAATAACCCATGATGTTGTCAAAATGTCATGTTGTCTCATTTTTTCAGAAAAGTTAAATTACCTGGTGACCTGGTGACCCGGTGACCCCTTCAGTTCTTCAAAAATAATTAATTATTGAATAACCCATGATGTTGTCAAAATGTCATGTTGTCTCATTTTTTCAGAAAAGTTAAATTACCTGGTGACCTGGTGACCCGGTGACCCCTTCAGTTCTTCAAAAATAATTAATTATTGAATAACCCATGATGTTGTCAAAATGTCATGTTGTCTCATTTTTTCAGAAAAGTTAAATTACCTGGTGACCTGGTGACCCGGTGACCCCTTCAGTTCTTCAAAAATAATTAATTATTGAATAACCCATGATGTTGTCAAAATGTCATGTTGTCTCATTTTTTCAGAAAAGTTAAATTACCTGGTGACCTGGTGACCTGGTGACCCCTTCAGTTCTTCAAAAATAATTAATTATTGAATAACCCATGATGTTGTCAAAATGTCATGTTGTCTCATTTTTTCAGAAAAGTTAAATTACCTGGTGACCTGGTGACCCGGTGACCCTTCAGTTCTTCAAAAATAATTAATTATTGAATAACCCATGATGTTGTCAAAATGTCATGTTGTCTCATTTTTTCAGAAAAGTTAAATTACCTGGTGACCTGGTGACCTGGTGACCCCTTCAGTTCTTCAAAAATAATTAATTATTGAATAACCCATGATGTTGTCAAAATGTCATGTTGTCTCATTTTTTCAGAAAAGTTAAATTACCTGGTGACCTGGTGACCTGGTGACCCCTTCAGTTCTTCAAAAATAATTAATTATTGAATAACCCATGATGTTGTCAAAATGTCATGTTGTCTCATTTTTTCAGAAAAGTTAAATTACCTGGTGACCTGGTGACCCGGTGACCCCTTCAGTTCTTCAAAAATAATTAATTATTGAATAACCCATGATGTTGTCAAAATGTCATGTTGTCTCATTTTTTCAGAAAAGTTAAATTACCTGGTGACCTGGTGACCTGGTGACCCCTTCAGTTCTTCAAAAATAATTAATTATTGAATAACCCATGATGTTGTCAAAATGTCATGTTGTCTCATTTTTTCAGAAAAGTTAAATTACCTGGTGACCTGGTGACCCGGTGACCCCAGTTCAGTTCTTCAAAAAATAATTAATTATTGAATAACCGCATGATGTTGTCAAAATGTCATGTTGTCCTCATTTTTTCAGAAAAGTTAAATTACCTGGTGACCTGGTGACCCGGTGACCCTTCAGTTCTTCAAAAATAATTAATTATTGAATAACCCATGATGTTGTCAAAATGTCATGTTGTCTCATTTTTTCAGAAAAGTTAAATTACCTGGTGACCTGGTGACCCGGTGACCCCTTCAGTTCTTCAAAATAATTAATTATTGAATAACCCATGATGTTTCAAAATGTCATGTTGTCTCAAACTTTAGAACGGCATAATTTAAATTTTTATTTTATCATAAATGAATACCACCACAAACAGCTCAAAATTTACCACGAATCATAACAAGGGAGGAAATGATAAAAATGATGGCAAGAACATGTTAAAAATAATACAAACCACTAAAATTGAGAAAATGTGGTTATGCAGTAATGATGGAAAAGAGATGTTGTCGAAGAGAATAAAAATTAAATTTGGATTGAGTTTAAAAATTCATCTTTTAAATTCATCTCTTCCAAATTTATTTATTCTATTAAATTCTTTTATTTTTGCTTCACTCAGTTTAAGGATTGAACGGTAAGTTTCTAATTTTTCGATTATTTCTTTATCGTTTTCAACCCCACCGCATTGTGGCTTCTTTTGTAATAGCATATTTTTGATTTAATTTTGTTTAGTTTCTTTTTATATATCGTCTGGACTCTTGGCTGCTTCGTTGCCACTCATTTCTTACGAAATAAAAAAATTAAATATTATTAAATATAATGGAGTAATAAAATAAATCGGAATTTCTATTAATTTATTGTCAACTCAACTAATGCATTGCCGTTAATATATCTAACAAATTCAGCTATTGTGTCAAATCTTCGTCTTCTTTTTGTCATTGATTTATCAGTTTTTCCATAATCGAGATGAATTAAAACTTTATTTCCTTGTTTAAAATTCATGAGCCCCGAATTAATTTGTTCACGTTTAACATCATTTAACTTTTCCATTTGCTTTCTAATATATTCCCATTCTTTTGAAATATCATTTTTCATTTCCACTGGTTTCATGTTTATAGTTCTATGCCATGTATTATTATAATAATATAAACTGCTGTATGATGGAGTCATGATTTCCATCCCAGTATATCTGACCGTTAACCCTAACGCATCTCTAAGAGTTCTCATTACCGCATCAACATTTTTATTATGAAACGTATATGGAGAGGATGAAAAGTAAAATTAATTTGTGGGAAATAATGAGCCATAGCTGCCTGAAATCCTTTATCACCATCACCCCTGATATTATCTACTCTTTCATGATCTAGTAAGTATTGAATAGCTCTTCTTGTTTCCTGTTCTGTTTTCCCTTTCACCGGAATGCAATATAAATATCTAGTGTTAATGTTAATGGCAAATAAATAAGTAACGTTTCCTTTTGAATATTCCAGATGATCAATTTCGTATGAATATGGATATGGAGCAAATGAAGGTCGACTAAATTTTTCCTTTAACGGTTGAATTTTTGGTCAATTGGTTTTTTAATATCTTGAAATCCTTTTTAAAATCTTTTTGCTTCTTTAATGTTTGAAATGGATATAATAAAGTGAATGATGAAGGATTAACTGAAGGAGGAGGCGGTACTGTCGTTGGAGGTTTTGGTGTTGTAAGTGGTTTAATTTTATCTGCTTTGATTTTGGATTTCATTCCTCCTTTCATTAATTCTGGATGTATTCTATTCATTTGTTTTAAATATGCTGTATATAAAGGTTTGATATACTTTCCCACTTCGAGTTTATGTTGAAGGATGAATTCCAAAAGTTGATCTTCATTTAAAAGTCGGGCTGAGTGTGGTTTAACTAATGAATCATAAATTAAAGCTTGTGCTTCATTTATGGTCTGAATGACCTGGGCGTTTTGCACCTTTGTTTTTTGCGGCTCGGGATTATATAATTTATATAATCCATCAATATCTTCTTCTGTTAATACTTTATTTTTGAAATCTTTCAATTGTTTAAGTTTGATTTAGTTTTTCCCTTTAATATTCATTATTTTTAATTTTGTCTTTAATTTTAGAAATTATTTTATCATGATATTTCAAATTTTCATTTTTATAATATGGATAATAATATTCCATATCATCACCCGTTATATTGTTATCATATTTTTGGAGATATGCTTTTAAATCATAATAATTAAGAAATTTTTGATTAAGTACTAAATCAGCAATTAAATTTTTTAAATGTACGTTATCCATTTATATAAAAATAAAATCAATGTTTTAAGGGTGCCCACCTCTTTGATCAAGAATCAAAACCATCATTAACGGTTCCTTTTGTCTCTTCTGTGGTATTTTATTAAATAAATGGCATACAACATCCATTTTCACAACATACAGCCTTAGTGTGTGCTCCTGTTAATGCAGTCTTACCGATTGTTAAGCGAGTCATAGACCCGTTTTTAAGTTGTAAATTAATATTCTGACCATCAAATATCACTTTATCATTTATTATATCCAAATAATTTTTAGGTGTTAATTGTTTATTTTGTCGTAAACTAACACCTTTCATTTTTTGTGCAATCTTTTTAAAATCACTTCCATCAATTGAACCATTGAATGATGTATAACACTTAGGACATAAAGCAACCATGTTATTGTTGTTTCTCAATTGCTAAACCCAATAACTTCTTCTCATGTGCTTTTTCTTCAGCTTTATTCTTTAA